TCAATTTAGGGGACAACGAAGTGAGGCGATGGCTTTGGGCACGTTGTGAGTGGGTTAGGGTTTTATTGTTGCTGTAAATGATTTCTTTTCATCAATTTGGGCAGTTTGAGCATACAATTTACTGTTTGGACAATTTGAACGTATTATTCGATTTTATGGATTTTAGGCCGTACTGGGCCTAATTTCCCCTTGAATTTAAATGCATGTGCGCATCTGAACCTAATGGCCTAAGGCCCCATGGCGTAAACATTTTGAGTTAGGGATACAATTAAATTTGCAAAAAAATTGTGAAGAATTTGACATTCGAAAATTTACATAAAAATTTTGCATCCGAAAATTTATACGGGGTATGACTTTTCGGACGTAAAGTTCGTATCCTATGTAAAATTTCTAAATAAAATGATTTAAATTATATTGAGAAATTTGTATCACAATAATAATAATAATAATTGATTTTTTTTTTTTTTTAAATACGAGTTAGACTTGTCTTTTTAAGATTTTTTTTAAAAAAAAAAACGAGTTAGATGTCTTTTTTTAAGACCGTTTTCGATATCTATTTGGACAATTCGATATGCCTATGATGTAGTTTTCGAAACTAGCTTCGAGATCACATATGCAATTTGTGGATTCGGATAGCATATAATTGTCAGAGAACTTTTAAAGTTAGCATGTTATCGAAATACTCGAAACAAGTCGTGACATTTGTTATGGTTAGCCGTTTCTGCACCATTAATAACGTAGAAAACTAGGCAATGAGCACTTCAAAATGATACTAAGAATGTAATATTTCGATTTTGTTTGACATTTCATAATAACTTTGAAAATTGAGACAAAAATATAGAATTTTTCTTTTAAAAAATAAAAAGATATGGCCCCAAAGTTTGTGAGTCACGTGATTCCATGTCACCCCTCTGTCCGCTACTGCCTAGATGTATGTCTTATAAATTTGACGCTCTTCAATTCACAACATTTTGTATATTATGAAAAAATTTAATAATTGCATCTTTATAACTCGCCGGAAGAGACAGTCCAACATGTGTCGTAATCAAGGCTAGAAAAAAAAATATTAATAAATTATTTGTTTCAATGGGTACCTAATTCCAAAACCTAAAAACAGCAGACACGCCAAACATCACTTAACACGTCCCCATATCGTGTAATATCGGAATTTGGTCGTCGCACCGACGCTCTTCTGTTTGTCCACCCATTTTTCAATTATAGGAGAGTTTGATTTGCTTAAAAATTATATTTTGATAAAAATTCATAAAATGTGTAGTTCAAAAGTTGATAAAAGTTATGAGT